GCGCCGGCGAAGTCGATCAACCTTAACCCTTTCGGGGATGCTTCATCGTGGATTCTGAATTTACCGACCATTGTGCCAAAGGAACCTTCTTTGCCCACCCTAGTGTGAAAGTCGCCAAGCACGATTTCGTCATCTTTGGTCCCATCGCACTTCTCAATCAATTGATTATTAAATGTGTTTTCTAGGAGACTACATTTTTCAAATTTGCTTGAATGATTACATTAAAGCAAATGATCCGTCCACTATTTGTCTGGATGTTTTGTATATACATAGGTGAATACATACAATGCAGGACAAAGGGGAAAGTTCGTGAACTATTCCTTTAGAGCCGAAAGTTCTCAAGCGGATCCGAGCTCTGCAGCAATTTTTCGCAAATATTTTCTCAAACAATTCACTACAAACATTGCAGGAATTTTGAAAAGAAACTTGAATTGAAGAAAATAATTATCAAGTTTGAAATACCAGTGCCCTAAATTGTATATTTGAATTTACATTTAAGAAAAATCCAACTGTTCAAATGTATTTGAGTTTGAAAACGTTTTTTCAACAATCCACAAAACTTTTAATAAATCCTTAGTTCCATAAAAACCAAATCTATATGGGCACATAAAACAATAAAGACACACAAAAGATTAATGAGCTGATAATTCTTGCAAATCGCAATTATCAATTTTATCTTTACATACTTTACTTACAATATTCGCTTAACTCAGGCGACTTTAATGTGCGCTTGCAAGCATCAAATCGTAATTAAAAGAATATAAAATTGTGTAAAAACAGATGCAATAAAAAAATTACAGCATAACACGCTTCTAAGACAAGCTGCTGCTTGTCAAGCTGGCGAAGTCAACCCCCAGCGATAGCCTAATCACTTGCAGCGCAACAACACAACATCTACAACAACAGAAAGCTCACATTTTCCGAACTGTAACTATGAATGACGCGTGAGTGCACACAACACACACATACAAGTGCATGGTATGCCACGGTAATTCACACAAATCTTCAGTTATGCTCAAGCATACAGCCACACACAAGGCACACAAGAATAATTTAAAGAGTTGCGGGAAACGCAAAAATATTTAAAATTAAGCTTTGAAGAGGGTGTCTTTAAGAGCAAAACATAAGAGTTCATAAATTATCAAACGAAGAGTAAAGCTCACAGTGCTGCTAAACAGTGAGCGCTGAAAGCGAAAAGCTCCGAAAGCTCACATAGTATTCTGTAGCCATTTATTTGTTCATTCATTTCGTTTCATATGGTTTCGAAATACATATTTATGTGCGCCAAACGGCGTTCGAGCGTCTTGCCTGTACAGCCAATTTCAACTACAACAACAACAACAGCAAGAACAATATCAACACTATCCAATACAATACAATACAATATATTTGATGTGTGTTATAAATCCAAAGAAAGTTCATTGACATCTCGAATACTTGTCATTTCACAAATAAACACTAAACACACATTTCTATGTAAATACCGCTGTACACATACACGTGTATGCATATGTGTGTGTATAGGTATGTTGTATGCAAACATTAGGTTTCGTTCTGTGCATGACAACCTGCCGCTCTCCCCCTTATGAGGTGAAGTGAGTAATACACTCGGTTTTATTACATTGTCGAGGCGTCAGCGGCAAGACGCTTCTGCTTAGGGGTGGCATAGGTCATAAAGAGGCAGCAAAGCAAATCAAAGTAAATAAATCATAAAAAAGTTTAGAATATGTATGCCAGATAAAGCGCTTCGATCCTTCGCTCGTAGCTTAAAGTTGCCATACACGACACACAAGTGCGTTCGATCGGTATGTGGGCGCATGCGGTTTACTCGTGTATGGGCTTGTGCGCGTACCGATCCATGTTCGCGAAAATGTTCGATATTTTACGATGTATGGCGTTGTGTGCGCACAAAATCTCATTTCTCTCGAATCGCCGAACAGTGAAGACCCCGGACGAACAATGGCAAGTGTTAAGGCCTTACTTTAGAGGCTTCAAAAAATTGATTTTTTGAGGACTTTTTTGGGAGGGAAAGAAATATTTACTCCAAATGAAATTCCTAGGCTTTATAGTTATATATTTGAACATCTTTCACAAATTTTTTGGATACGAACTCTTTGATGCCTCTCGCATGTGCATTTTTTTGACGGCGGGCAAGATGCAGGTCACAATTTCTATCAGAAACATAAAATTCTAAGATATTATTATTTTTTAATAACTTATCTTCTAGTTAAACCCAAAACAAGTGTGAAATTAAAAAAAAAAAAATTTTAATTTAAAAAAGTGTTTTTTGTCCAAAAGAAATTTAAAACTGTTTAAAAATATATTCAAACTTGACTTTTCTTAGTTTATTTATTATAGTTTAAATGGAAGATACTTTAATGTCAAAGATAATAAACTTTGCTCCATATTTCATACGGTGTTTAGTCGCCAATTAAGAAAAATCGTAAAAATGTGAAACCGAGAAATCGCGCGTCAAAGTTTTCGCTTTTTGCCCAAGCACTCATATATCTGCTAGACGCTCGATCACTATTTCCCTTCTAGCTTCGATAATACTTCGAATTCCCATCTATAGTATTCTATAGTATAACTTTAGGGACATTTAGGGATTTCTTAGGTAATTTTTTTTAAAGATGTTTAAGAAAAATAAATCGATTGTTTGAGGCTTCTAAAGCAAGCTATCCCATTAATAAAGAGTTCGTATCAAAATTTGTTGATGGTATGAAAAATTAATTAGCAATTTGAAAAGTGTGAAAAGTTAGCAAAACGAAAAGTGATAAATATAAAAATAAAATTGAGAAAAATAAAAGTTGGAATAACTTATTAACGAAATACAAAGAAATAGATAAAAGTGCTACATTAGAAATAAATTTCAAGAAATGTTCCACTTGCCTGTGGCATATGTTCACTGTGTGAAGAACGAACCCAAAATGGATTTGTGTGTCGTGTATGGGCGAAACGAATTCACACAGATCCAACGCACATGTGTGTCTTGTATGGGCCCTATTAGGCACCCGACTGCCCTCTTGACAGCGCTGTGTTGTTGTAGTTGCTGCTTTGATAATTCTTCGATCGGCGATCGTTCGATCGTCTTGTCTTTGCTTTAATGTCTACATTTATGCTTTAATTACTCGGTTTAAGCATGCAAATATTACTCACGCTTACACTCATACATACATATGCAATATGTACATATGTAAATGCTTTGATGCAAAGACTTATGTTGTTGCTGCTGTTGTATTCTTATTTTTAAGCTGTCGCCGCACATTAGTGTTTGCATAGCGCTTTGTTTTTTGCCATTATTTGTAATGTTTGCGGCAAAAAGTTTTAAAGCTTTGACATAGTTTTTCATTGCGAAAACACAGCAAAGAACATGCGAGCAGAGGAAGTAGTGTGGCTTCGGTTTCTGCTTTAATTACCTGCATCAACAAGTTAAGTGTCGTTTGGGCCACTTTGCATTTGTTTTGGATACGATCCATCGATTCTATTGAGTATAAAATATTTTGAATACAAATGTACGGTTAAGACGTTTCGATTTTGAATCCAGTAAAATGATTAAATAAATCGTATAAACACTGTTAGAATAAAAATATTTAGACTTGCATAACCAAAAATTTATATAAAAGCTAAATGTAGTGGATTAAAATGTTGTCAAAAAAGTTTGTCGAATGTGTGTTTGTAAATATACGAAATTCAAATAAATATGTAAAAATGAAATATTAAAAATGTTGGTTAATTTTACAGACAAACTTACTGTGTGTGCCAATTGATTATTTTAACATCGAAGATGGCTCAGAAACTCACCAGTTTCACCTAAATTTAATAGGTATTGTCTTAAACGAAATAATCTAAAGAAAATTTCTTGAAGATATATTGTCAAATAAAAAGGTTTTCCATACGAGAACTTAATTTTGATCGGTAAGTTCATATGGCAGCTATATGTATATACATACATAGTTCGATTTTAACAATATGTTCATAGATTGTAGGTTTGCCCTGGATCATAATCTATACAAAATTTGGCGAAGATAGGCTTTAAAATAAAAGGACTTAAGTGTAATAGATCAGTTGGTATGACAGCTTTATGCTAGAATTATCGGATGTAAAAAATGTGTTCGGAGGTTGTAGCGTTGAATTATTCAATTATATATGCCATATTTCATGCAAAAATCTCATCAAAGAGAGATGTTGTCCATACAAGAATGTGTGTATGACAGCTATGTATTATAGTGGTCCGATATCGGCGGTTTCGACTAATGAGTAGCATCTTTGGAAGAAAGAAACTGTGCAAAGTTTTATATTGATATCTCAAAAACTGAGGGACTAGTTCGCATATATACAGACAGACCAACAGGCGAACATGGATAAATGGGCTCAGTACGTCACGCTGATTATTTATACATGACAAAAAACTGCATCAATATTTATTTTATATTTTTCAAAGTAATCCCCACCAGATGTAACACGCTTATAACACCGATTTTTCCAGTCTGTGACACGCTTCTCATTAGCACTTTTTTTGAATGGCCTTCAGCTCCTCCGAATATTCTGGCGATTTTTAGGTACCATATCGCTCACTTCTTCAATATTTTCATCAGTTGAATATGTCGAAGGTCGTCCAAAACGAGGTGAGATCTCTAGATCGCCTTTGAAGGCTTTGTACGACTCGTTGGCTTGTGGTTTTGATGAAAACTGAATCACCTTAAGCCTGTCCCAACGTTCGAAATGATCACGCACACGAAATCGGGTTAGAAATACAAAGTTTGATACAAATTCTTTGACTTAATTATTGATTACCATATTAAGCACTTCTGGTTGAATACACTTATGCAGGAGTAAGCAAACTTTTTAAATATTAGGATTTGTATTTTATCAATTGACTACAATTCTAATCCTAATCGGAAATATCCTTCATCAACTGTCAAATATACTGTATAACATTTTTATAATTTTACAAGTTAACATCATCTCATATACGGTTTTCTATTCTCTTTCCGTTACAGCTCAAATTGAAATAATTCCATGCAAAGTCTGTGGCGACAAGTCATCGGGCGTACATTATGGCGTTATAACATGTGAAGGTTGTAAAGGTTTTTTTCGCCGGTCACAAAGTTCTGTAGTGAATTATCAATGTCCTCGCAATAAACAATGTGTTGTCGACCGTGTCAATCGCAATCGGTGTCAATACTGTAGACTGCAAAAGTGCCTACAATTGGGAATGAGTCGTGATGGTAAGTGTGAGTGTGGCATGCCACAGAAATTAAAACTAAAACTGTGCTTATTCTTTAATATATTTAATAATTTTTATTGCAAAATTTTAATTAATCCGACGTTAATGTTTTGCAGCTGTAAAATTCGGTAGAATGTCGAAGAAACAGCGTGAAAAAGTGGAGGAAGAGGTGAAGTTTCACAAGGCGCAGTTGCGAGCACAGAGTGACGCGGCGCCGGATAGCTCAGTTTTCGACACACAAACACCTTCGAGTAGTGATCAGCTGCACCATAATTACAATGGGTAAGTTCACGCTTGATTTTATACGAATATTTGCTGCGGTCATACTCATACTCTTTACAGCTATGGCGGCTACTCCAGCAATGAAGTGAGCAGTCCCTATGGTTATGGCTATTCGACATCGGTAACACCGCAACAGACGATGGCCTATGATATATCTGCGGATTACGTTGACAGCACCACGTATGAGCCGCGTGGCACGATAATGGATCCGGACTTCGTCAGTCATGGTAGGAGACAAAAATCACAAAAACTCGTGCCAATTCCCATAGACGAATCAGCATTTAATATTCGTATAACCACTTACCACACGCATTACCACTACTACTACTACTACTTACTACCACTACTACTACTACTACTACTACTACTCATCTTAGTCATCATTGAAGTTATCGTTAAACGTTATCCAGTTCAATTGTCAAGTTCATGCCGTGAGCCCATCGCGTTTTCAAGTTGTACACTTTATGTCCATTCAATTATTGTCGAATCAAATCTATTTTCGTTTTTTTGCTATAATTTCTTTTTGTCAGCGCCTAGGTTTTCAAGTGAGTGTGAGTGTGGGATGTAAGTAACGCCGCTGCTACATGCGTCCATATGCATATGAGTATACATATATACCGCAGCCAAGGACTGTAAATACAAGCGAAATGCATCTAGTTCCTTTTTTGTTGTTGTTGTTTTCAAGCTCAAGCTAAAGCTAAGCTAAGTCAAGTAAATCAAAATTAGCCTTAGTGGGCTGGACGCGTCGTAGTGGGCGCGTAGCTTCAAAATTCCAAAATTCATCCAAATTTATCTGCACACATTCATTTTCTATAACACATTGGCATACAATCATTCATTCGTAGTTGTGGGGCACGCACATTTCATTTTGGGGTGGGCTGTCTCAAATATTTGTTATTGTAATATATTTCGTTAAATTGCTGCATCGAATATTCGCTGTTGTCTACCAAAAAAAAAAGAATGAAATTTAAGAAAAAAATCAAAAAACAAATATTCGAAATTCTGGTAAATATTTTGATTGTATATTCCTTGTTGCATTGCTTCTCCTCCCCCCACCAACCAGCTGATGGCGACATCAATGATGTTCTTATAAAAACCTTAGCCGAGGCACACGCCAACACAAGCACCAAACTCGAAGCCGTACACGATATGTTCCGGAAGTCTCAGGTAAAACCGATGATATTTGCAATCGCTCGCCCGTCGAACTTGAACTCTCACTAATTGTTTATTGTATTTGTGCTTTGTTTTACTTTCTTTTTGGTTATATGTGTTTAAAAATTATGATTTCGCTTGCGCTTATAAGGATATTTCGAGGATACTCTACTACAAGAATCTGGGCCAGGAGGAGCTGTGGCTAGACTGCGCTGAAAAGCTAACACAAATGATACAAAACATAATCGAATTTGCGAAACTGATACCCGGATTTATGCGATTAAGTCAGGATGATCAGGTGAGCAACATATTATAAAATACTTTATAATTTATATTGGGTATTATATAATATTTAGTTGATGTATAACATATGATCAAGTTTGAACCGGACTGGTCCAGTTATACCGCACAATGATCAAAATTGACCCAGACTGGTTCATTAAACTGCACATGCTATCTGGGTCGCTAAGTTGTAACCATGATGTATGATCAAATTTGACCCAGACTGGTCCATTTAAACTGCACACGCTAACCGGACCGCTAAAAAACTAATTTCTATATGAATCCCGCAAAACGTGTGTAATATATGTTAGAAAATTTAGTAGATGTATCAATTCGATGAATAAGTTTGAACCGGACTGGTCCATTTAAATTACACACGCTATCCGGATCGCTAAAAAAAACTAATTTTCAGTGAATACCGCAAAAAGTTTGTCTGGTAATTTTTACAATGGAAAAGATGGTATAACGCTTGAATTTTTTGGTTTTCAAAGCAATCACGGCGACGAAATCGTAGAAAATGTTTCAGAAGTATTTTAGCAAAACTAATTAATCGCGAACATAGGTTTGAAGTGGCATAAGACATTCAGTGAAGGCCGTAAAAAATCTTACTGAAAGCTCTGAAGACCATGATAGCCGAGGCTTATAACAGGTATATTGAGAACTGTATTTAGCGTTAGTGTGCTTGCATTGGCTCATGAGCCTATTTTCCCGTCAATATTGAAGATTTTTACTTAAAAACATGCATTTTTTTTGGTGGTCCGGTTCATTTTTGATCATATGGTATAGAGTGATAATTTCCAGTAAATTAATTGTGTGATATGATACGATGTGATGTCGCATGTTGGAGCATTTGTTATATGATTTGATTCATGCGATTCAAAAGCATGCAGAATTTGAGGTGATAAAAGTTTTATTTAACTATGTTGATAAGATGTGGTGCAATGTCAAATGATGTGATGTGGCGCTATGATATTTTTAAGTAATCAGAATTCGAAGTAATTTTAGTTGTGTGCTAGCATCTAGCATAATTTGAGATCATTAAAATTTTATTAAACTATATTGGTATGATGAAACTTAGTAGCATATGATGTGATCTGGTGATGTGATATTCTTAATCATGAGAATTTGAAAAAATCCAAGTAATTAAATACGTATTTACGAAGTAAATCGGAATTTCTGTTTAAATTTCCCTTAAAAGCTGTACACAGTTTTTTATTTTCAATGTGATAATATTAACAAACGATATCATTGAATCAGATCATTAACTAGGTGATTGCTAAAAAAAGAAAAAATAGAATTTTGTCAATATAAATTTCAAATCAAGAATTTAAATCTAATTTTATGTCTTGTGATGTGGTGATATGATGTGATAATGTGATATGATTAAAATGATATAATGACTGCCAAGCTTTTTGCGCAAAATAACTGAACCACTTATATGTTGTATTGTTGTTATGGGAGTGATGTGATGTGGCGATATGCTTAAATTTAAGTAAGCATCCCTAATGAAAATGTGATGTGTTGTAGTGATGTTATGTTGTATTAAATATAATATGATTTGATTATGTAAATATAAAATATTTTTTTTTCTTTTTCCGCCATCTTTTCAGATTCTCCTACTGAAAACTGGATCATTCGAACTGGCCATCGTGCGTATGTCGCGATTGCTCGATCTCTCACAGAATGCGGTACTCTATGGTGATGTGATGCTGCCGCAGGAAGCGTTCTACACATCCGATTCGGACGAGATGCGTCTGGTATCGCGAATCTTTCAAACGGCTAAATCAATAGCCGAACTGAAACTGACTGAAACGGAGTTGGCGCTGTATCAAAGTTTAGTGCTGCTCTGGCCAGGTAAAACAAGCAAACATTATTAAAAATATTACGAAAGAATATACTTATGTCAATGAAATATAATATGTGTTTACAGAACGAAATGGCGTGCGCGGTAATACAGAAATCCAGAGGCTTTTCAATTTAAGCATGAATGCAATAAGACAGGAGCTTGAAGCGAACCATGCGCCCTTAAAGGGTGATGTGACTGTTTTAGATACATTGTTAAACAATATACCGAATTTCCGGTAAGCTGAACGAAATATATATGATTTATTTTTATATACAATACTCATTTTGTATGCTTTGCAGCGATATCTCCATAATGCACATGGAAGCACTGAGCAAATTTAAGCAACAACACCCGAACGTCGTCTTTCCGGCGCTATACAAAGAACTGTTCTCAATAGATTCGCCGCAGGATCTCACATAACATCAAGAAAACTATGTGGAGACTACGAACGCAATCGATGCACCGGACACCCTAGATGCGTTAACGTAGAAACAAAGAATTACCCGATGACAGTTGGCAGAGTTGGCGATGAGGAAGGAGAAGCGGACTTGAAAGCGGTGACGGTGGCGGTGTCGGTGACGGTGATGGCAAGTAGTGCATGCAATGCATGAAACTGATTGCTGCTGCAATGACTTTACATTAGAACGTGCTGTAGAAAGAACAACAACAAACGCATATGAAACCAACAACAACACAAGCAATTTCAATGAAACGACAACCAGCTGCAAGCACACAGTCAGATGACCAACAAGCGTCCGAAGTTCTGTTTAACGGAACTTAAAGTGACAACAACAAACAATGTATTCTCAGTTTATTCACTCTTAAAAACATAGCGTAACAAAAACAAAAACATACTAAACAAACATAAGAAATAGTAAATCATAGTGCAGAACAAAAGAAACAAAAGGTTTATATTACTAATTAATTCAAGCCACACATAATAAGCAGTAACAAACAATAACAAAAAGAAAACAAAAAACCAAGAAAAAAGTAAGCAAATATTAAGCAGCAAATTAAGTTTAAGGATATTTATACAGAATTTAAATAGTAACAGAAAAATACACATATATATATAAATAGACAAACCAAAATGCCGAATGCACACACACATACAAACACACACGAATTCATAAGCAAATCACACACCTCTAAACATTTGCATACAAAAGAAAAGAGAAAAAGTAAAAATTAGAAGCAAAATAAAACGCAATAACTACAAGATACAGTAAATTATACCACATTGTTATAACAAAATAAAAAATAAAAAAAATAAAAATCATTCTAAGTAAAACGCGAAGCAGAAACACAGGAAAATTAAAGCAGCATTTAAGCCAGAAAAATAGGCGAACATAAAGTAAGACAAATAAAAAACTACGGATACATATGTCTACAACATACTAACAGTTATAGTCACACACACACACACACATAAACAAGCTCACTTTCACCTAGAAACAAGAAGAAAATCTCGAAAAACTAAACTTTCAACTTCAAAAACTAAAATACAAAAACGTTGCCAATCTAACGCAAACTCATTCAGCCCTCAACCAAAAAAAAAAAAAAAAAAAAAAAAAACACGAAAACTCTATATACTATGTAGTTGATGCCTGGCGCAATCGGCGGAACCCAAGCAATCGCAAACAATTTATTTCGTTCAACTCGAACCAGCACAAATTTTTCCAAAAGAAATAAAAAAATATTAATTAAAATTTAGAAGATATATAACTTGCGAATATTATTGAAAAGACTTTTGCAAATCAACAAACATACACACACACGTACATCATTACCATAAAACGAGTGCTTACGCCCAAAAGACTAACATTTACAGAGTTTGTAGAAAAAATAGTGAAAAAGTTGAAAAGCGACAGATTTTCGTAGTACAACTCGTAAGCAAACATATTTTATAGACCGGCTGTAAGCACATTGCAAAAATATATGTGAGCTATTTTTAGGCGCCATTTTAGTTGCAGCGCTGCTAATTAACAGCTCTGCTGTAAACTCATGCATATGCCTTACCATTTACTGCGAGTTTGTTTTCTGTTGAAATGTTATTGATACAAACTGCTTGTTTATTTGTTATTGTTATGTTTTAATTTGCTATAAAATTTTTTTAACTAGTATATAGTAATTTGCTGCTCCAACACCTTTAGCAAAGAAATTTTAAAGAATGCAAATGAACATTCTCAGCTTTTTTGTAGTTTCACTCGTAAATGTTAATAACATACTGTTGTGTTTTACATCAGCAAATGTGTTGCTATGCAATGTTTCCTTTCAATTTCTTGACTTGTGTTGTTTTTATATACCAGCTACCGAGTATAATGCTTTTAATAAGAAGAGAAGTGAGCAAAGAGATCCGCCTACATCCATATATAGGAGACATGAGGCTCTCTATGGCTAGATACATATACATAAACATACATATATGATAATTTATTTTGCTACAGCTTTAAAAGTTTAGAGAAAATTGAAATTTTCAATTTTTCTTGTTGAAAAATCTGCTTATGTGTTCCATTCCCACAATCGTTGCCAAATCAGTCGGATCCATGTGAGCGGAACGAAACCGAATTTTTATCCGATCAAAAAAATAATTGCACAGCGCCCTATGATCTATTGTTCCCGACAAAAGCCTGTCTTTGAAATTTGTGACGTTTTGTGATGGTTTAGTAACTCCAAAACACAACAACAACAGACTCGCTGTAAACAATTAGTGCTTTTCTGACAGTTTCCAAGAGAAATTTGTCATTTCAATACAAAACTGTGGCAATCTTAAGGAGTACATCTAGGGTGACAGCCTAAAAATTACGATTTTTTGGAATTAAAAAAACACACCGATGCGATTTTCGTTCTGATCAACAAATTGTTAGGACATTTTATGAAAAACACGCAGAAAACCTCTGATAGTAATCGGAGCTTTTGTCTCCAAGTAATCCCTCACTCAAATTTGAATGAAGTATTTATGAAAAAAGACGTTGACAGATAAGCTAAGCTTCGGAACCCACGAAGGTTAAGGCTACAGTATGAAAATATCAAACCAGAAGCCAAAACCACAGCAAATTTTTTCAGTGGTCATTAATCAAATCTTGATCTTGAAGATGTTCGGTGGAGACACACAGAATACAACTATTATGCAATAATCGATCTTAAGTGCCCTAGTTAAAGATATTTAAAGCTGTAATTGGATTAATTGTTGGGTATTTTTTTCATTTGAATCGCGAGAGCCACGCTGAGAATACACAATGAAGAGCTTGACCCGTTTCTTAAATTTTAGCAAAAAAAAGCTTTGTTTTTCATGAATAAAAGTTGTGGCTCCCACTATTTTTACCTTTCTCCTTTTTTTTTAAACACCAACAACGTGAGAGTTGTTTCTGCAAAGCTGAAAGCACCGGCATCGCCCAATTGTGTTCATAAGTATAGTTCACGTCTTTGTCTATCGAACGAGCAAAACGTATATATATATATTTATATAGATATTCCGATTTGATACACAAAGTTTATTTTCATTTTGTAATACGTTTTATGAAAATTACAAAAACAAATAGCTGAGATATTTTACACCAGCTTATAGTGTTCAAAAAACTAGTGAAAAACACATAAATTTGTATTCGCTGTTTTATACTCTATTTGGTTTAAGCCTATACACACAAATATGCATTGTCAGTGCATACATGTAGTATGTAAATTTTAAGCGTTCTACTTACATAGCTTTATATTTTGATTACGTTTTTGTTGTTTCATTTTTACATTTATTTACATTTGTTTTTTTTTTTAATGCTGCGCGTCAAAGGTACATATTTATGGCGGCGTTCAGCAATTTATATACGAAAAGGAGATATACGATTTTACACCACATTTGTGTTCAGCCGGCGTAGAGCTTTGCAGGAGCACTTTTGCCGACATAGCTTTCTTAATTTAGCTTTTGTTGAAAATGTATGAAAAAATATGTTTGTTTTGGCTTGAGCCCCTCATTCTTGACACTAAAGTAGATTGCGGAATGTACTTATCGTATATATTTGTTTTTTGTTTTTATTTTATACTTGTAATAAATTTTTTATTTGGGTGAGATATCTTTGCGTTACTTTGTATCTTCTATAAATGTTCAGAACGGCTTCGTTTATTCTTCTTATTTGGCTTTATTATAGTTTGCATGTTTTTAAATTGAAACCGATTTTAAAAAGCTTTTACAGTTCTTCGAAATAGCTTTCATAGTCTAGACAAGTTTTTGATTCAAAAGTTTAAAGTGATTTTTTAGAGATTTTACATATCCAATTAGCTTTTATAGCTAAGACAAGCTTTTTGTACAAAAGTAAGCTTTAGGTTTTTAAGAAGTTCTTACGTTTCAAATAAGCTTTTGATCAAAAATAAGCCATAAATTTATAAAGCGTTCTCTTGTTAATTTAACTTTCACAGTTCGTTGAAACATTTGACACAAACGTTTAAAGTGTTTGTTTTGGTTTTTAACATAAAAGTAAGCTTTCAATTCGAACAAATTTTTTGACAACAAATTGAACGTTACATTTTAAAAAGCTTTCACTTGTCAATTCAACTTTCAAAGTTCGTACAAGCTTTTTACACGAATGCTCAAAGAGGTTTTCAAGAGCTTTCATTTGTTAAGTTAGTTTTCAATTTTGACACAAAAGTAAGCTTTAAAGTTTCGAGAAGCTTTTTGGAGTTAGCTTTCAATTCAAATAAATTTTTGACACAAACATAAGCCTTACATTTTTTCATCAATTTAGCTTTCATTGTTCGAACAAGCCTTTTATACGAATGCTCAAATAGGTTTTCAAGAGCTTTCATTTGTTACGTTAGCTTTCCGATATATGTAATAAGCATTATCGGTGGCTGATTAGCTTTTTTGTTTCGAAATACGAGTTGTAACTATAAAAATTTAAAATTTTCCGTTATACGTTTTCGTCGTAGATTTGACACTCATCTGCATACTGAAGTCTGCCTTCAAATTTAAGAGACTTAAAGCGATATTTAGGAGACAGTACAACAACAGCATATAACTACCGTTAAGCCACACTCGTACCACACACTCACCCACACATACACACACGCATATTTCTATGTAATTTTCAGTAGCCCAAAAGCAAACGAAAAATCATAACCTTTCTTCACCATCATTACCACTAACAATAACAACAACCATAAGCAATTAGTGCAGTATCATAGACGAAGAGATACGAGAATCGTTGTAAGCAAAAAGTATAAATATATACATACATATATAAATAAATAAGGAAACCAACAAAAAAACAACACTTGGAGGACGGTGATAATTAGTGTGTCTTAAACAAACAAAAAAAAATTATACATAAATTTTTTTCTATTTTTTATTAAAACATATTACATAAAATAATTGCGATTATGATGACTTTACTTACGATTGATTTTTTGAGCCGATTCCGAGGAGCGTAAAACAAGTTTAACTATATTAAAGATAAAATTCAAAAGCAAACTGATAAAATTAATGAAATTGTATGAAAGAGAGCATTAAGAAAACAAAACAAAAACAAAATAAAATTTCGTTTTATGTTTTTGCCTTAAATTAGTTGGAAAAACAAGGATAT